GAGAGTTCTTCTGTCAGGTACATATGCTTGTGGTTATGCTCTTATTGTCTGCTGCTATTAATAGAACATATTCTGAATATCAAAAGATGATCTGAACTGATTTTGGCAGATAGCAGGGTTTGTCTTTGTAACATCTAATTCCCATTTTTTCCCAAATCAATTCTATGCATGAACAGTTTAAACACTTCAACTTTGGCCTTTGTTTTTGCTTCCCATTGTCAGCATTCCGAGTAACTACAATGATCTAATACATATCAATTTTACAGAAGATAATGTTGAAAAAGCATTATGCAATCTAAAACCATCTCTATCTATTGGACCAGATGGAATATGTGCCTACTTCTTTAGAAAGCTATCCACTGCCATAGCTGAACCTCTAAGCATAATCTTTGAAAAATCTTTCAGGACCAGCTCCTTGCCAAAACTATGGTCACAAGCCACAGTCATCCCCATCTTCAAAAATGGAAACCCCAGCCTGGTTGAAAATTACAGACCAATCTCTTTATGCTGCGTCACCTGTAAAGTCATGGAATCAATTATTAACCAATCCATCATCCTCCACTTAGAAACAAACAACCTACTCTCTAATAAACAATTTGGTTTCAGGAAAAAACTATCATGTAATCTGCAACTCTTACACTGCAAAAACATATGGACTACACAACTTGATCAGGGCAAAGCAATAGATGCAATCTACATAGACTTCTGTAAAGCCTTTGATTCAGTGGTACAAAACAAACTACTCCTAAAACTAAAATCTTATGGTATCTTTGGACACCTGCATAACTGGACAGAAGCATTCCTGTAAAACAGACAACAAATGGTCAAAATTGGGAGTGTCTATCAAATTCTGTACTTGTCAACAGTGGTGTCCCCCAAGGCAGTGTTCTAGGACCAACTCTTTTCATACTTTACATAAATGACCTCTGTGATCATATCAAGAGCAACTGCGTTCTCTTTGCTGATGATGTAAAGGTATTCAACACCACAGACAATACTGCTACCCTTCAGAAAGACCTTGACTATGTATCAGAATGGTCAAACAAATGGCAACTTCAAATCTCAACAAATAGATGCTCTGTCCTACATATTGGCAAAAAAAAATCAGAAAATAAAATACAGGCTGAATACAGACCTTGTTGATGATCCAAACTCTGTCAAGGATCTTGGAGAACTCATCTTTAATGATCTAAGTGCTAGAGTCCACTGTAACTACATAGCCAAAAAGGCTATATGTATCCATGTATTCATAACTATGTTTTTACTTATACCTATTATCTTGTAAGCAATTGACAAAAATAAATAAATAAATAAAATAAAAATAAATAATGTACCAATTCAAAGCAGAATTTCGAGGCAGGTAGATTCCACAAAGTAAACGTTTATTGGATACATCATATTGGCACAGCCAGTGAAAACCAACTCTGAAAGTTCCTGTGGTTTTCACCTAATTAAAAGAGTAAAACTTCCCCCCTCCCCAATGTCATCAGTCACATTATCCAATGAATATAGCTGGCAGGCTCCTCTCTTCCTTCACCACCCATCTGTTACAATGACCTTGGTTCCCACAGGAAATTTTTTTGTTTTGACTGTATGCTGGGCTATCTACTTCCCCCTCCCTTCCCAGGAGGCTGTGTGACAACTGTGAGGTAGGACAAAATGGCCTCAGCCAGCTTCATTTTAGAGTTGACACCCATATTTGAGAACTTCTGTGTTGTGTAAATTTAAAATAATTATTAAGTGACATATTTATTTCCTGTCCGACCGTAACCATAATGAAATACAGTAATTCATTATACTCATGGGAAAAATCACATCATTCTGTTTATCATGTGAGGGGATAGTAGAAACACAAGATTCAAGAAGCTTTGCTTTAAACTATTAATATTTATTTTACTTTTATTAATTTTATATGAGGTACCTTGTGCAATTTTTGTCTTACCTATGAATTTGGTAATTATTTCATCTCTTCAAATCATTATTAAAAATATGAGAGAGGATCTAGAACTAATTCTTGTAATCTTCCCCTCCTCCATTTGACTCTGCAGTTTAATGAGAATAAATGAGTAACTATTTGGAATCCATTTAATTGGAATGCTATTTAGGTCATGTTAGTTAGTTTGCTCATCCTATGATTGGCTATTTTGTCAAATGCTTTGCTGAAATCAAACTATACTACACCTAAAGCAACCCCTTAATCTACTAAGGAAGTTAACTAATTAAAATGAGATTGTCTGTTTAGTTATAATATGTTCTTTTCAATTTCATAAAGGATATGTTCTTTTCAACTTCATAACAGTGTCTAACCATTATCTTATGTTGTTTGCAAGATGTTTAACTTTATGAAATGCTTGAGAACTTTCCCAGGTGTCAGTGTACAATCTTCTCAGTTATATGTTAAACTGACAGTCAATAGTATCCTTTTCCCTCTTTCTGAACATTGAAACAACATTTGCCTTCCCTGGTCAACTGGCACTACACCAGTTCTTCATGATTTGTCAAAACTCCTTTGGAGATAGGAGGCAATTCATATGGTTTTAGAGGTGTAAAATATGTTTCTTTTAATCTCAATATTAAATCTGGCTCTTTCCTCCTTCCATTTATAATCTGCTCTGGGAATGTATGTCCTCTTGTTGAAGAAGATTCAGAGACAAAATAGGAATTGATCCACTTCAGTTTGTTTGTTTGTTTGTTTTGTTATCTGTTCTTACTGTACTATCTTTGGTGAGCAGTTAAGATACTATAATCTTTTTCCTTTTTTTGAATAAATAAAGGCACCAACCTTGGCTTTAACTTTCTGACACCTTCTCTACAATCTTAGATTACCAACTTTCTTGGTGACAAGGCCTTATTTTCATTTCTTTTATTGGATCAATGCCAAAGTAGAAAATGATTACAAATGATGGCTACAGAGAATTTTTTTACAGAGTACAATGGGATTTAATTGTATTTGAAAGCCTTATAATTTGCAAATGTTATTGCTTCTTGAATCAAAAAGCATCTTAAATTAATGTCACACTATAAATTAATGTAAATAAGCATCTGTTTGTTACTAGAATGTTAATAATTTGAGGGGTTTGTTTTAGATGTCTTTGCTATATATTCCAAATAAAATGGGAGTTTAAATTGTCTGACTTTTAAAAAACCTCTAAAATCCATAGTGAGTTGCTGTTTTCCGAAGAATTTTGAATGAATCATTCATCTCAAAGATCCGTTTCTGTGCCTATTGATTAACTTTAACAGGGCATCTGGCTAACTTTGATATCTGTTAAATTTCATCTTATTTTACGTTTTAAAAATATATAGATAAAAGTCTCCTTCAAATCCAGCTTGACTCCAGGAAACTCCATGAATATGTTCATGTAATTTTCTTGAGAATAGTATGGACGCAGCTTGCCAGGATGTGGTTTTTTCCCCCCAACTTCCCAATTTAGCCTAAACCTTGTAATCTATGTAGTCTTTCTTTTAAATATAAACCTTGTGCAACCCTAAATAGCTTCTGAGCCAAGTAGTCACCGGACACTATTAGTTGCTGACAAGTAATAGTTGAAGGTCAAAACCAAGTTGGTTATTCTTTGAAATAAGAAGAAAGATGGCAAAATAATGTTTTATTGAGAAGTGAAATTATGACAGGTTTCTTTTGAAATGGAGGTGTATTTTGCTATGCATGGGTGGCATTTGACACAGAAAAACAAGATAGTGGAGGCTTTTATGTTTTACGATTTATAGTGAAACTACTTATAACAAGCATTTAAAACAGGTATATACAACACAGTCCTAGTTGTTCCTCTGGTATCACATTTCCACTCACAGACTATCATTCCCTCTCCCCTGCTAGCTCTCCTGCTTTCTGTCCTTTTCTCTACATCTCTTTCCTCTGTTTCTGGGCTTGTTGAGAAAGAGTGAAAAGAAAGTAATGGGCTGGATTTAATTGTAATGTGCTCAGCATGGCATGAACTTGCTCCTGGATCTGCTCAGCTGAATACCTACTGCTTCTCTGTTTGTAGAAGAGAAAAACTTTTAGTTATCTTCTATCGGAAGAACCTCTCTCAGGTTCTTCTTCTGTTTAGTCCTTCCCCCAGGATCAAGGCTTTGTCAATGACTGAGAAACTCCTCCTTCCCATCTTGGGACTGGCATGAAGATGTCTGCTCTCTGGGTCTTCATTTCCCTTCTTTCAGGGAAGTCACCTATAGACCTTTATTCTCCTTTTCTGACCAGAAAATGACAACTGCACTGCACACTCATATAACTTTACTTTCCAATTTTTCTATTCATCCATCCATCCATCCATTTCCTATCTTTGTTGGCCCAAAAATACTTTCAAAAAGACAACAGGACTTAAAAAAAATTCTTGAAAACATTTCACAGAACTGAAGAAGTTTCTTGGATGAGAAGTGAAACATCTTCAAGCAAAATTTTAAAAAAGTCCTGTTGCCTTTTGAAAACAATTTGGAGCAGCCATGATCTGGGTGACTAAGAACCTCATAGGCATTCCTGCCTTTATTATTTTTATAAATAAGGGGACAAAAACATACTTAATACTCTCTCTTTCATTTTCTCCTATTCTTCTCTCATCCCCTCTTTCTTTCCAGTTTTGGTCAAACCAGTAGCATACCTCCTAGCAACCAAGGAAGTGGCTGTCTTCCCAGGGCTCTAGTCCCCAGTGCCTATATGCCAGGCTAGATCAATGGTATTGCTATCTCTGTAACTCCTCACAACAGCCTGATCAGTTCATCAGCCATTGTGTCAGCACAGTTGCCCTTCAAGGGCCAAAATTGAGCTGTTTTTCTCTTTCTCCAGTTCCATTTAATGACTCACAGCAGCAGAACAACAGCCAGACCAGGCCACTAAAAACCATATGCCACAGTTGCTTGTCAATATGTATGGTAGTATACTTTATGCAAGGGCTTTATTATTAGTAAAATATTTGGTATTGTTTTATACAAATAGCTTTCCATACTAATCAAACATATGAAAATAACATGTACATGTTTTGCAGAGCTGAAACAGAAAGAGGACTTTCAAGGAAACACATTATTGAAGGTAATGTGCTTATTTATTTATACAAGTGTTTATAGGCTGCCCACTTCAAGGATTCAGGTTAGTTTGCGGGCAACTAAACAAAACAAGACCTCACCATTCCTATTCTGTATATAATAATGCTTTATATTTTATACTCAGTGAAATGCTACAACAATCAGTAACATTATTTTTGCACAGTAATCCAAATGAAGGACCAGGGCTGAGAAATAAATTTAAATGAAAGTTTAAAGCAGTTTTGAAGATGCACATTTCCCCTGGAATTCAGAAAGTTATGAGTTGCCTGTGCCTCCACATTTTCCAAAACTGCACTGTAGCACATTTCTTTTTCTATGCAAAGTAGTAAACCATTCTAGAGATCCTATGTAGTGTAGTGATTACATTGTTGGACTCAGGTTTAAGTTCATCATTAGCTATAGAAACTCATCAGATAATTTTGAACCAGTATCTAACTCAGCCACACCTACTATAAAGAAAGAATATTTCCATGTAAGTCTCCTTGAGCGTCTGGAGAAAAGGCAGGATATAAACTGAGCAAGTAAACCAGCCAGATAAATCTGTGGCACTCATGTGAGATAATCAGGAACTGCTTTCGTACATGTTAAGATTAAACTTTCCATATATTAAGAGGAGTATCCAAGACACTTCTTTATTAAGAGGAGTATCCAAGACACTTTCTTACTATCATCATAAGAGAAGAAAGATAATGTCAATCAGGTCTAGATGGTTAGGCTGCAGTTCCCATCATTCCCAATTCTAGCCAGTTTGAAGAAGGTAATTTGAAGATCTTGATACCTGTTTTCTTTTGATGCACCACATTGAAGTTGTATGTTTATTATGAAATCATTGTGATTAATATGTAATTCTAATTTATTCTTCTATTTTGGGGAAAGTCTTAATTTCTAACTGTGTGGAAAGATACTTTGGGGATTGGGGATATGCAAATAAATAAATCCTAAACCAAGACTGTGCTACATCACTGTGGCATGAACTTGATTAGATGTCCTTTTCTGCAACTGTTGAGTGCCAGCACCTGGATAGCTGCTAAAGTTAATGCGCTGTATATAGTCATACAAAGGGCAAAGATCCATGAATTCAATTTCCAGTTGAGGGTTTGAACCCTATAGAACAGGAGTGTCAAACTCACGGTCCCCAGGCCAGATGTGTCACACACTGGCCACATCCTCCCCTGGTGTAGCAAAGGAGGGGAAGTCATGATACGCGATAACACGAGTTTGACACCCCTGCTATAGAATAAAATCTGGCAACTTATTGAAGAGTTCCAATATGTAAAAAAAAAAAAACAGAGCTTCCTGTTAGCTAGTGTAATTTAAAAAAACAGGATGTATTTCTAAACCTTGCCTCTTGAGGATGTACTTTAAGGGGTTGACTGGCAAACGCTTGCATTCTTCAATCCAGTTTTCATTGTAATAAACAGACAGAATAAAGCCATTCAAAAAGAGAGACATTCTTCTCTTGTTTTGGTTCATTTTATTAGGCAATATAATTTCACCTATTTCCCGCTCTATCTTTGAGGAAGACTTAGATGGATGATGCTTCTGAGCTATTAAATTTCTTGTCATGTGTTTGGCTCTAATGATCTCCTGTTTCATTTATAGGATTAAAAGCCTCTCTCCAGAGACTGCAGCTTGAATATGTGGATGTGGTCTTTGCAAATCGACCAGATGGTAATACTCCAATGGAAGGTTAGCAATAAATGTAATAAAAATGTTTTGCTTGATTGATCTTGGCTCATAGGTCTATGCTGCTTATGACAGAATAGAAAAATGGTTATCCTCAAATATGCAGGAAAATTATATAAGTCTTGATTCTTTGAGGTCTTCAATATTTTTATTAGGAGACCTGTACTTAGAGTAATGGATGTATATTTATGTAGCCCACTTAGTACTTAACTACTTAATTCTAAGTATTGCTAGAGCAGTTTTCAACATCTTTTGTTTGCACAGCATAAATGCTTCCTTTTCTTGAGTTATTTGTATTTTAATTGACTCGAAGTTTCAAGTTGATACTGTAATTTCTGTGCAGCTCTAGTCAGAGATGGCTGACTAGAGATGGCTGACTAGATCCATAATTAAATCATACAAATTTACATAATTGGCATGTTCCATTTTATTTACAGTATTTATTTAAGAAATAGATGATCACCCATCTTAACTAATATGCTTTGAGTGGTGAACAAGAACATAAAAATACAATGAACAGACAAAAACTAATTAAAAGCCAATTAAGGCAGATGACCTGGAACATATCTTATACCACACATATAAAGTGCATAAAATTATTTTGAGGAATCACTGCCAAAAATGCATACTGATTTCATACTAACGAAATTTACAAAAAAATCCTCAGTAAGAAATAAACTTTGCATGTGAAAAATTAAAGATTGAGCATGGTCTAAATCAATGTTTTTCAAACTTGTCCATTTTTAGATGTATGCACATCAACTTCCAGAATTCCCCATTCATCACATGGTAGTTGAAGTCTGTATATCTTAAAGAGGCCAAGTTTGAAAAACACTACTCTAAATGGACAGATACAGGTGTTTCCATATATACATGAAAGCAGCATACAAAAGCCAAGAGAACTGTTTGAGTTTCTTTAAACTCGAGGCCAGTGCACCATCAATGAAACATAAATTGGGTTATTAGTTGGTGTTGGCGGCAAAAGCAAGTCTAAATGGGGCAGGTTAGCTAACCCTCTTTATAGAGTTAATTTGATTGTGATTCATTGATCAGGTTATCAAGTTAATGTGCATGGCTTTAAAGTGAAACAGCAAATGGATGCAGTGTCATTCTTAAGTTAGAACAAAGAGTCAGAGAAAGTATATCAAAAGTAGCTTCATTCCTCTCTAGCTGGTCTATTAAAGCCTTAAAACTATGCTAATTGTCAGTTCCTCCTTGTTCTAGTTAGCATTCTTCCAGTTAGCACTTTCACATCTCATTACTGCAACATTTTTCACACCTGAGTGTTTCTAGCACCTAATTGATTATGGCTGAGCCAATGCTTAATTTTCCCAATGTGAAAATGTACGTGTATAAAGGGCTTTTTAGCTTAAGTCCAAGAATGGATATTACAGAGCTTGTCGTACCACTGATTCATTCCTCCTCCACTAACTGCACTAACTGCTAATAAATCTAAAATATATGATATATTATATAGTTGCTGCACTTCTATTTCCAGATACCAAATTAAAGACCTCCAATTAAGAAGACTAATTCTGTGGGAGGTTTTATATGATACAGCTCATGATAGCTACTAAATGTTGTGCCAAAGCAGGCACTTTTCAGAACAAATGTGGTAGACAAAGCCAACCTCCCCTGTCGTCGCTGCCCTCCCCCCAATACACACATTTATACCCTCTTTCATCACATTGCTGACCTTGCCTTCTGAAGTCTTTGAACATTGGAAGAAAGATTTTAAAGAGGTTACCGGGTGCTGCTCAGTGTCATGACTTTATATATGATGAAAACCATGACATGAATTGACAGTGATAACCTTTTTTAAAAAATCTAATTGTCCTTGCTCTCAAATATATACTTGAAACATAGTTCTTTCAGGCAAGAGTTAATAGCTAGGAAGTCAGTTAAACATTCAGTTCCATGTCTAAGGATAGTTCACTGTTGTTCATCAATAATGACAGTGTATTTGCTGGCAGCTATTGGAAGAGAGATGATGGCTTGGGTTTACCTAGCATCATTTTTCTTGGTCATTGTACCATTATGAAAAATAACAGAGGCTCCCAGTGTAATAGGTAATGCTGTATTTTTTGTTGTCTTACCTTGGTGCACATAGAACTCAAGTGCTGATTGATTATATTTATTTTCAGTAAATATTCCTTTGACTAAAATATTATTCATGATAAAGAATGCAATTATCAGACCTTAGCAAAAGCAAATGCTAATTGCACTGCTTTTTGCTGTCAACCTTTTGCAAAGCCTTCCTTATTCCTACAATAGTGCTTTGCCAATAATGCTGTGATTTCATGTATGACTTCCAAAAACAGTGGGAATTATTTATTTTCCTGGGCTGCTTTGTGTATCATCATTTGTTTCTTAGACATTATTTTTGTTAAAAAAATACTGCTTTGACCACAGAATTCAATTAGTGGCATTATTTTTTTCTGCACCAAATATCCAAATTAGGCATATTAGTTTCTTAACGTGTAAATTATCTGTGGTGCATTATTATTTTTTAATATGAAAATATAAAGTACAATCATCCCTTTTGTACAAATTAAAACAGACACCAGTAGCATTTCTTAAATGGCTTGATGTGATGTTTCCTGACATTGCCCTGTGGTGATGAGGTTGAGAGCCTTTACTGGAGATGGGAAGAACACTGCAAATTTGTTAGCGGATAATGAGCTTAACAGGTTTTGTGACTTGGAGCAAAATATAACCTTTTTTCTCAACCAGTTATAATGAAGGGGGAGAAATACAATAGGGCTGCAATCCTGCACGTAGTTCAGGCTGTTTGAAATCCCATACCAAAGATAAGAGTAATTATATTCAGTGGCATTTGAACTACCTGTTCTTGCACAGAAATGTATTCATGACAATCATAACTGAATGTGCACAGTTCATTCTAATGGTGTTTATATGAACATCACTTACAGAGACAGGTTTCAGAATTATTGCTCCTTTTTAGTTGCTTGCAGCTGAATAAGAATTATGGGGATGGCCCAGCGATCATCCAACTCAAGTCTTGCTCACTAGTAACAATACAAATAATTGCTGGCATGGCTGCCCTCCCTGCTGTTGTGCATTTGGCTAAATTTCAGGCCCATCTGTTTGCAGCAGTGCTAATCTCTTACAGTTGTTAAACTGTATCTTCTCCCTGTTTAGTATCCCTAGATTACTTTTGTGTATTTATGAAGACTTGTATTTTGGGATTATCTGCACTGTACTAATCCCCCTCTGCACAGACAGCCCTCAAGTATTGCTTAACTGGGAAGCCGTGGAAAAAGTAGAACGGGCCAGATTGAAAACTGCAAGATAATTCACGTATGGCACTCAGTCCAAACAACGATTAACGGGGGTACAGAATTCTATTCATGTCTATAGATGTATTGAAAGACATAAATAAGGATTCAACATTAGCCCCTTAGCTCATCACCCAACAACATCCTCCCATTGCCCAGCAATCTATAATCTTTAACAGCTACATATACTATCTCCATATCAGCCTAGTAACCAAACCACATCTGGATTTTGGCAATCACAATAAAAACAAACATATAATCCATCAAAAATATTTGCACTCAAATATATGCAAAATAGATAAGATAGCAGGTAGGAGAGAGAATAGCTAACCAACAGTGCTCATTTCATCCCAACTCCAGCACTCAATTCCAGTATTATCTAGTGGGGAAATAAAATGTCTGTCACCCGGATATAAGCTCGGAGAACTTCAATATAAAATGTGTTTGGGTTTCTTCCTTTCTATTGCATCACGAATTCAAGATAGTCTAACATGAATTATTTGTGGGATTACTTTTTGTTATTCTTCTTACACTTTTAGAGTACAAGGGCAAAGTTGGATTTCCTAAAAAATGTTTTGTTGTTTTGTTTTGTTTTGCTTTGCTTTGCTTTGTTTGGCATAGAACAGTTTTCTCTTTATATACATACAAGGTAGAATATCAAAAGAACATAAAAATGCTATTTAACTTATTACCTAAAAAATGACATAGGACTTAGATTAGGTTAAAATAATTACATGATCATTTATATGCACAAACGAAAAACAGTTTGTAATTCAATTTGCAATGTAGCACATCTCACCACAGTGAGGGAAATGAAAATGGGTGGCCTATGGGTATTCTATTATTCAGGGGATACGTTTTGATGAGCAACTTTAGCCTTTGCAATGAAAAAAATTCCTCAATTTTTAACATTGCATCAATTATGCATCATCATCATAAAGTAAAAGAATAGGAATTTTCTGTTTCTCACCTGCTTTTGAAAAAACGAATTGTCTGCGATTCAGATCCTGGCACGATTTAGATAGTTCTGATTTAATTCATAGCAGGATTTAATTCATAGTATTTAAATTCTGCAAACATAAGAAACACTTTTGTATATGAATCATGCACATTTGCATGATTATATATGCAGGGTTATCCATAACTAAAGGTAAAGGTTCTCTTTGCACATACATGCTAGTCATTTCCGGTTCTAAGGAGCAGTGCTCATCTCCGTTACAGCCAAAGACGTCTCCATGGTCATGTGGCCGGCATGACTAAACGCCAAAGGTGCATGGAACTCTGTTATCTTCCCACCAAAGTAGTCCCTGTTTTTCTACTTGCATTTTTACATGCTTTCGAACTGCTAGGTTGGCAGAAGCTGGGACAAGTAATGGAGCTCACTCCATTACGCAGTGCTAGGGATTCAAACTGCCGAACTGCCAACCTTTCTGATCAACAAGCTCAGCGTCTTAGCCACTGAGCCACTGTGTCCTTATTTATCCATAACTACAAATATGCAAATAATGCAGAGAAATTAATGGTAACAACTGGTCAACTTTGCTTAATTTTGAAAAAGTTAAGCAAGACTGAACACTGTGATAGCATGGAAGTGTAATCACAAAAATATCCCAGATCACAGACTAGAGAAACATTGAAAAAACATTCTGAAGATGGCAATGGAAAACCACTGTCATATTATTATTAATATGGAATGGCAGCGCT